AATTATGCAGGATGTACCTGAGTGGCACTTTCATATTTGAGTCCCCAGTTGCGAGGAACACTTTTGCAGATTAAGTTGAACTCAAAAAGACGAGACAGATAAGAAAAGACGGTAAATTATACTCCAAAAATTAAGCACATCTGGTACAATACGACTTAGCAGCTGAGTATTGAATTTTCAAACTGCAGCCAAGATTAATCCAGTCAAGCTTACTTAACTCCAAATAAGCACTTTTTACTTGGTTGTATTTGGAGTTCTCGACTCCACTTGACTCATTTCTTACAGTTTCACCCTTGTTTACTTAATATCTAAATTTCCAATAATCTAACGCCAAAACTTTATTCCAACTTCTCTATTATTTCATAATACCATGTTGCTGCTGATTCCTGTTGTAATGGGCAGCAACTACGTTATGTACTGCAAAAAGTTCACTTTACTCCTGCTACGTCCTAATCCCTACTCTCCTCCCATACTTCCAAGGTGCGTTTACGGTTTTTGGAATGCATATGCCCTGGAAAAAACTATGGATAAAAACGTTAAACCGAGACAGACCTTGAAGATCTTTGGACAAATTTATAGAAAGAGGATTTGTTTTAGAAATTCTTTCCGGAGGAGCTGGGCAGGCTTAACTGGGCCTTTAAACTCTGTGAATAAATAATTTAAATCTACTTCAGTGCAGGGTTTCTGACTAAAATTTCGATGGTTTCTGACCATTTCTGATCAGCTTAATACTTAAAAACATTTAAAAAACCACAGATCTTCGACATTTTCTATGGAACTTTATAATTTACTGCACAAAGTGACCACAAAAAATGTTGCCTTAAAAGTCTGCAATTTTGAAACTTAACACCCCACGTTTACAAATCAACAACTGCAAAATCCAACGCTCGACCAATATATCACATTTTATAATTGTGAAAGCGCATCAAACAGTTATCAGTTCAACAGTAGGAACCTAAAATTGATAAAGCAAATAAGATTACTGGAACTAATAAAGGCAAGCGGAATATAGCTAAAAATCACACACATAAAGTGGTTCTATTTAGAAAAAATGCTTATTTGAAGCTAGAACCAACGACTGTAACTGCGCACAGACCACGCACTTTTAGGCCTCGTAGTTAAAAAAGACAAGTCATGCGAATTTCAAAATTTACTCGACGATTCTGAAATACGCTTTATATCCAACTCTCTGTTTATCCACGAAGCTTCTGAACCAGAAAAGGCTGAGAACAACTTCTACCCTATTCAAGTCAATTATGTCAGACTAAGCAAGGCAGGCACTAAACTAGTAAGGCCACGTACAACCGCACAGCATATTACAAAAAAAAAGTAATCAGGTTAAAGTCGACCCAAGTTTTGCCCTGCAGAATCTACAAGCATTCTCATTCCTAAAATAATTTCATGGAAGCGCGTGAGTTGAGTGAACCCGAACATTTCATTATAGCGCATATTACTCCTTTAAACAAAATTAACTCTGAGGAAGCTGAAAATCTCGCCTAAATCATTCTTTGAGTATTTTTTTCGCATTTTCAACGAAAAATACATCACCCGTTATATGGGACTAGCATTCAAGATAGCATATTTCTTAAGCTATCTTACTAGCACGCCAGCAACCGTGAGTCTGCAAAATGAATATACGAATAAGCTTCTAAAACTGGTCTGGGTATCATGCAAAATATAACTTGATGGTTCACAAACTTTCTTATAATTTTAAAACAAACCGTTCTACTTCCACTGAAACTATTACAATAAATATAAGAACGGCATGTGTCTCAGAAAAAGTAGAAAAAAAAGTGGAAAAGTCAACTTCAGCAAAAATTCTAGCTTTTTCAAAGTTAATTTTATTTAAAGAAGTAATATATATATAGGCGCCGTCATTTCTAATTTCCACTGGGC